CCCCAAAACCCCAAAACCCCAAAACCCCAAAACCCCAAAACCCCTCTAAAATGTCTAAGATTGAATATAATTACTCTCCCTCCGGATTGATCACCATCAATTCATCTTTTGCTCTCTTTTCATCTTCCGCCCTCTTTTCCTCTTCCTCTCTTTCCTTTTCTAACAGCTCTTTTAAGCTAGCAATCTCTTGATCATACTGAAACATAAAGAACATGATATCATTTATCTCAAGTTGTGAGATTTCTCTCATGACTTCCAAGAAGTTGAAGAATTGATTTCTTTGGTACTAAATTTTCACACAGTTTAGCTTACCTTTTCATAATCTGGGTTGTGATGTTTTGCCCAGAGCTTTATTAACACTTTAATTTTATCCCCTACTTTGTTCAACTTAGGCCCTCTGTGATTCATAGTGTAATTAATCTTGTTCCATAAGCCCATGAAGAGAGAGTTGTAGTACTGGTCGTGCCCCTCACTCTTTTGAGGGATACCTGAACTGTCTACTGTGTCCACGCTGATCATTCACTCATCCCCAAGCCTTTTCTTAATCTCTTGTTGAGATCTGATAGTGAACAGGTCTAATACAGGCACTTCATTATGAATGTAGGAGTCAGTATAATCATTTGAATATTTAGACATGATGTTCCTACGCTTCATCCCGCTTGTGTCAGAGGGTTTGGTCATGTCATCAACAAAGATAGAATTCAATTCCCCAGTAATAGGATTTCAGTAGTGATAATTTGAAGGAGCAAGGCTTGGTCTATCAATCTCAGCATTTCTTTTGTCAATATCTGCGGTTTTTCTTGCACCCCTGAGCTCGTTGCCTCTTCCTCTGCTCACAGGCTCGGGTTGGGTTGGCCTGTCCTTTTCATCAGTGATACCCATCAATTTCTCAAAGACCTCTCTACAGATCTCTTCTATCTTATCAGCTGAAGTTTTTGCTCTGAGATAAGCCCCGTGAGTAGCTACCCTATCAGGGTAAATCCCACTGCTTATCTTATTATAGCAATCTGTAATTTCCTGGTTGTCTCCCATATGACTATTAGAGATCAGCATAATTAGAGCCCTAGCTCTGGATTTGCTGCAGTGAATATCTCCAAAGCTCTTAGTGCCGATGTAGAATGTCGGATTATCCTGCATCGTGATGGCATTAATGGAATGGTGGAATTCACTTCCACCATTCCCTTTGTCAAGGAAGCAGAAGAAGACTATCTCACTTTTCCTGGTCTTCTTTATGTATATCCTTGTATCAATTTTTACGTGGTTTGATATAGTGTGCAGGTATAGATTCACTAAGCTCGGGAATTTCTGGCTTCAGAAGTAGCATTTTCTTTCTCTAATCATCATGTACGCAAACCTTTTAGTGAAACTAAGGTAGTCTACTGCTTCTTTATCTACTGTATCATATATAAAGCACCTATCAAAAACCACAAAATATCTATCATGCTTCTGTAAAATCTCAATAAACTCTTCCTCTCCAAAACAGTACTTTTTCAGGTAATTCAAGTTCTTTGCCAAAAAAGGCAGGCTGGTCTTGCTCTCCATATTTATTAATTATCTATCTTGCTTAATATTTGCGGGGTTTTGGGGTTTTGGGGTTTTGGGGTTTTGGGG